GTACTTCAATAAAAGTTCATTCCTATACCTGCAGCAAGGTTATTTCCAGCAGGAGAAATACTGGATCATTGCCAATCATGCAGGGAATTTGCTATGAATAATTCAACGTTACTTTTAGAGACTTTGGGTTTTCTATTGTCACCAGGATCAGTTTTATAAACCCTCTCAGAGCCTTACATGAAACATGAAGCTGGTCAACAATCTGTCAAACTAATAGTATATTAAGTCCAATTTTATTTATTTACACAAAAGCTCTTAATTTATAATGTGTAATTTGCATTATGTATCCATTTTTCATTTGTGTACTGTAATTTGTGAATTATGAAAACAATGAACCTTCTGTTGAAAAAGGAGAAACCATCTTTGTCACTCCCAAATATTCTGAACCAATTTTGGCTGCACATCTGTGGTCTAAATATAGATGCTTTGTGTGTGTGTGTGTAATTGAGTTTTGTTACAGAACGTCTAGTCAGTTTGCCTCCATAAGAGGGAAATGCATGTTACCTCTTGTTCTATCATCAAAATTGCAACAGCTGTATAAGGTTAATTGGTTCAAATACTAAATGCACAATAAAAACACAAAGTAGTCCCTATATGCATGTGTGCAAATATGTTTCCTATCTATACAGTTTAAAAAGTACAACAAATTTGTCATTTTGATCCTTAAAGTGAACGTGAACGGTTTTGTTAAAACCCAGCAACAGGTATGTAAGCCTTTATCTGCTGGAGGTTTGAAGTTTGAACCATCACTGAGCTAAACCTATTTAAACATTTTATCAATCTATGAAATATGCCAAAGTAGATACAGATGGTAAAGAGGGCAAAAGTGAAGACATGGAGTGTCTCTTTACGAGCTATAATCAGACTAAACATGTGAAAATGAAGTCGGAAGATTTGAAGTTACATATTTCCAAATGCCATATTGTATCCTAAACTTAGTTGTGCTTCTTTTATACATGTACTGTATATTAACCATTCATCTTTACTTTAAGAAAATCTGAATGACAACATCTTTGTTCTTCCGAACAGGTTCAAGCTCAAGAAACCATGGACGTCTGTAGCTATTTTCCACATGTGTTCTCAAATGTCTCTGGTATAACAGCTGCTAAAACTCTAACTCCTCCTTCTCAGAAATGACTAGCAAATTACCATTTGCATAATTTCATGCTTCATGCATAATTTATGCTGATGGCTTTAACTGCATCTAAAACTCTTTTAAGGGTTAACCTTAACCCTTAAATCACACTTAGATAACCTTAGATCACACTTTACCGGATAGTATACAGTCTCAGAAACTGTTTTGGAAAGAACCATGCCTAAGTTAGTTTTTAGACTAAGAAAATGTATCATAGTATTGTCAGATGCTTTTTCTCATCTTGAAAACATTAATTTAGCCCCCTAATCCTTCCTTAGCATGCAAGCTCCCATTTTGTGTATGTGCCTTTTTTCTTGCATTTTTGAAAAATCAAAGAAAACATTGTTAAAAAAAGATTAGATTCCATGAAAAAGCGATAAATAAAGACTATATTTGGATAACGTCTGGCTTTTTCTCATTGCGCAGATGTTGTTTGTGAAGTGGTAACAAATTTGTCTCTCTCTGTGTGCTGCGTTCAGCCTTCACAGCCAACGTCTGACAGCAAACTCACACGTACAAGCTGTATGTGTGAGGCACCAGTTTCAGCTTAACAAAACTGTGATCATATACTCATTTCTAAACAGCTTTTCTTCACTAATCATCCTCCTTCAATCTGTGTTCTGAACTGCTGATGTCTACCAGAACCCCTACTGACTCAGTTTTGGCTTAATGTTTTCCAACTTCAAAGCTGAAACTATTAATCAGCACTATATTGCTCATCATGATTATACTGGACCGATAACCTTGATCAAATGACCACAGAATTATGCTTTCAGCCGTGAAACCATCATTTTTTTGTCATTTGTGTAATGTGAGGAGAATGATGTTTAGACAATGTCATCAACCAACAGTGATTCAAGTTCAGTTGTGCTTGCATTCCCTGAAACATCGCAAGGTTACCCAGTCAGAGGAATACTGCAGATGTAAGTAGGCAGTGTTTAAAAAAGTGCTTTAGTCTTTAATGCATATTAAAGAAAATTATATCTGAGAAACTCTGATTCAGACAACAAATCTCTTCCACAGCCTTCGGAAAAAGAAATCCCAGTTTATTAAATGCTTCAGCTTCTGTTCATAGCTGGTGAAACACACGTGGTGTGAGGTTTACTCAAAACTGACCCAGCATGGTGATGTCACATTGCATCAGAATGCCAGGCCATAATCCACAAGACAGAAGTATTGCTGGCACCCAGTAAGGTGTGGTAACTAGTGACAGTGAACCGGCAATGTACATTTGCAGGGGGTTAGTCATGCATTTACAAGCTCAATCACAAGACAAGTCTTTTAACTGTGAGCCAGCATTGCTAGCTAACTAAAACAAGGGGAGTCCCAATAATTGTCTGTGTGTGGCAGAAGGAGTCAAGGCCCTGAAAAAAAAACTCAATAATGTACATTTTGATTAGGGAGCATAGAATAGCTATAGGCATGTTTGCAGTCTTTCTCTTAAAGGTGAATCAAACAAGGCTGATTTTCACAGTGGGGATGGAAAACACCTGAAAACATGCTTTTTAAACACCCAGTCACACAGCAGAGGGAGTAGTTCTCAGGGGCTAGAGCCAAATAATGTCTTTTGGCATTCCTAGCAGGCATTGGAGCACAAAGTGTCAAAATGAACAAAAGCTCGTGTTCAGGCTCAGAAGTGGTTCCACTCTCAAGATCTGCACAAGGCCTTCAACGTTGTTAAGAAAGTGCTATTGCTTGCAACTGATTTAGTTTTTAAAATCCATGCCCTACAAAGCATTATTTTCTCCAGCCATGACAGAATCATTTTCATAACTCCTCTGACCTTGTTCTGAAACGCTAATAGAAAGATGTTTTTTATACATCTAAATAAAGAGTGGTTCTTTTTCAAACACCCAGATTCCATAATGAAATCAGTTTCACTCCAAGTCACAGTATGTGCTGCAATTGTTAGAGCAGAGCTGTAGCATAAAGCTGAGTTTGTATTTCTTCACTGCTCCAAAAAGCGATCTAATTGTCATTTACTAATCAACCAGAGCCTGCCAGTAAGGTTTTCCAATTATGTAACCATGGTTTCTGACTTGTAAACAATTTGCAGGAAGCTTTTTCACCACTTTTTGTCATTAGCAACAAATTGAAAAAAGCACAAAAGTGTAAAAACTTGAATATGCTTTTACTGATTAAAATATAAAAAATGTGTTAAATTGTGATTTAAAACACACCCATAAATTATCTGTGACATTAGGTTTAGATTGGAAATATTGTTAGATGGATGGAGATCCTGGATGAGAGTAAATTCAGAACTGTAACAGAATTGTACAGTGTATAGCTCTTGAATATTAAAGGTTGGAACTCCTTTACCACCCTAATTGGAATATATGTAAGACAAGGGTTCAGAAAACAACTCTTCAGACTACCACAGTACCACACTCTTGACATTGTTTTGACATGTTTTGTACACAGAAAAGAGTTTATTGGACTAATGCTGTTCTAACCGTGTCCAGTGCTTAGTGATTAGTAAGGGATTATTTTACAGTCAGTAAATGTCTATGACTCTCCCAAACTATACATACGGAAACTGGGGGAAAAACAGTCTAAAAATGAAAACCGCACATGATAAAATTCCATCTGGTGTAAAACTGAAATGCAGCATGGTCCAGTCATGTGTTGTTATACACTGTGATTGGCTGTCACGTACGCAATGAGAAAGTACCACACCTGCATAATTCAGAGATATAAAATGATGGGTAGTGTGGTGGATATCCCTGTGAACAACCTATTGTTCCTGGGAGGGAAATATTATATGACGAGTGTCTTAATCCATGAAAGCTACTCCATGTAACCAACTGAAGCCCAATTCCATGTTTCAGTTGGATCGGTATATATGTCTGTTAATAAATAGTTGTCAAGGCAAAAATTATTCAATTAACTCACAGTATGACATTCTGTTGAAAATACAGATGTCGGTGGTACTTCTAGAACCATACCATACACAGTAGGCCTTGGTAACCTCAATGAATTTGCAGCTGCCCAAAATCCTGAAGAGACGTAACAGGTTGAAATACAGAGAACCTACTGTCACAGCAGGTGCTACTCTTTCTAACCCAATCTCCTTGAATAAGTCAGTAGTAAACATGCACTTTTTTTACTTTCCAAATGAAAAGTGTAGTAAATACAGTTTGTCAGAAACCCTTCTTACAATCTCTGGTGTTACATTTTAGTATTAGCAAAAAGAAAAAAAAAGTTTTTTTTTTTTTTTTTGCTTCTTTGTACTCGAGTACTAAAAACTGGGGTGTTCTTCACTTCAGAATCACTGGGAGAGTGGAGAACAAGGACCTGACCTGGTGTCACACAATGGCCTGAGTAAGGCCAAAGTAGGTCCTTTTCATAAAATACTGGCAGTGAAGCAAAGCACTCAAGTGAAGTACTGTAAGTGCAGTTTATTTACAATGCTTCACCATTTCCCACATAAGAACCCCCCTCCCAAGGAACAAACATAATCCTTCAAATAAAGACAAATCCTTCTGCAATTATTCTTATTGCCATTTCTCTGGTTTTGGTTACAACTACCTAACTCACCAACTGACTGATTATTAGGCTGAGGGACCAGCTGTTCTAGTATATAAGCCCCTCCCTCCTCTTTGGAAAAACAAATTCTCAAAATTTCACAAATTATACATCCATAATACATTCATTCAATTACTAAGAAAAGAACAACATCAAATATATCTTAATAACACACAGTTTACATTTCCTTTTATCCCGGTTCAAATAAACATCAATACAAACACCGACATCTCCCCCTCTTCGCACGCATGTGGTTTTAACTATCTCCATAAATTCACCTTTAGAAGGAGGGACTAGGTTTGGCCATCCGCGGCCACCATAGGCTGACCCATCCCGGAAGTACCAACACCAACCTATTTGTAGTAATGGTATCATTCATTTCGAGAGCAGTCTCCATTTACGCAACAATACTCACGCATCCCCATATGTAAGTATATGTTTTGTGTATGTGAAATGAAGTAATAGCAGTTACTAGTCAAGCCCCGAGTGTGTACTCTCAGGAACTTATTTACTGTAGCAACCGCTCAACGGGAGGTGTATGAATAGTGTATTCCCCGTGATACCTGTACCTCCTGGTAATAAAGCTGAAAGTAAATGAAAGGTACTGCCCTTGAGTTGTATTTAAGTACAGACGGATGTATATAATGAATGTTTGCTCTTATTACATGGAAGAGCAAGAAGGTGTGACTCCCACCCACCATTTTCCTGCTGAATCCTGATCACAGTCCGATAGTGACTTGGAAGTTCAAACTGGCCAGGATGTCGTTGTTCTGGAGAGGAAGTATTGGAAAGGCAACATTGGCCGTTCTATTTTTATATATTAAAGAAATATATGTCTAACACAGGAAGCCTACAGGTTGCTGAAACAGAACAATCATCTATTACTATTTAAAAAACTCACTGTGCTCAATTGTTTAATTGTAATGTGTAGCATCTCAAGAAACATTTATAATTAAAAAGTACAAACCAAAAGTATCTTATATGGTGTTACTGCATGCCTTTTAACAACACATCACTTTCAGAGTGGCTGCTCTAAAAAAACAATTTTCTTATGCAAACTCCTAGTGACTCAAAGCAACCCCAGCCAATCTGTAGCATCCTGTAGCATTTCAGTCACGCTAGTGCTCAAATCGTCATCACCCAAATTACTATTTACCAAGACACATGGAGAAATTTCCCAAATAGCTAATTATCATCAGACAAGAAACACTGCTGCACTAACCGGTTTCAATCCCACCCCTGTTTTCTGCAACAGTGCCCCATCCATCATCTTCAACACTTAAGAAATAGTACGGGTATCATCTTAACTCTTTCATTGCCATTGGAAGGGAGGTCCGACGGGATGTGTTCCCGACTCTTAGGGAAATTAAAGTTTCCTGTCCAGGATTTGCCAAGGCGGGCAGATTATATGGTTTATTTAGCCATCCAATTGTGTCTAAGATCCTTGCTCTTAAGCACTTTGCTGATACTGTGTACAGTACATCTGCCATTGTCACTATAGTGGTGGCCGATTGGCAATGTGGGGTCCTGTATCATTAGTTTGCCTCACTGTGCCTGAGCCATCTGCTAGGCTAATTGAATAGGCATCTTCACCCATTTTAGGACAATGTCTCGAGTCTTGTATGTCCGTAGTAATGTTTTAGCACCTCATGCTGCTGTTAACTGATGTATAAACTGACTGACTGCACTGCAAAATCCTGCACTTACCGTCTTTCCACAATTCCTGGTTGCTGCTTCTGGTCATCGGCTGATGTCGACAATGGTTGTGCAAAAGGCTGTCTGGCTTTCTTCTTCCACTGAGCTATCTGCAAGCACACCTTCCATGTGAAAACTCAGGAATAGCTGGGTTGCCCAGTGAATGAAAAGATCACTCAGTACATTGGTGTTTAATACAATGATAATGTCCGAGATATGTACTCTGTTCTTACTCCTTTGGAAAAGAAGGGATAAATCTTTTCCTGAAGAGGAGTCCCTAACACATCAAGACATACAGTAAATCGAACGCTTGTATTAGCTATTTTATTTCCTTTGATCTCAATAGAGACTGTAAATGACAACCTTGAGCAGAACTATTATATTTTATACACGAGGTTAATACTTCAAAGCTTTAGGTAAACAACTTCCTTCTCTATAAATGTTATAACTAGTTCTGTTCCTTTAGCTTGATATGCAGTCACTCAACTGGGAACAGGCCTGGCTGAGCTCTACTCCTCTGATATATCCTTGCTCCATCCAAGAAGCATGTTTCTTTTTCATAATTACAAAGGATTATATAAACGCACTGCTGCATTTTCATTAATCAACAGACACCCTGCCATTTAAGACTAAATGCAAATGGAATAGGTGGTAATTAGAAGTGGCACAATTCCCAGTTAATCAAAAAATACAGAAGTTTGCCACTAAAAAAAAGACCCACCTCATCACAGTACCATAAGTGACCAATTTAATTTTTTTTTTGCTTGTAACAGTGTTAAGAAAGGAAATTCTAGGAGATAATACAATTGATCACAAGAAAATGTGTCCAAGTGAAAATGAGTGTACATGTCTACAGTCAGCCTCTAACTGTTCATTCCCTTTCTTTTTTGGAATTGTCGAACACAGGGTCACAATGCTGAATGTTTCTCTTGCCAGATTCTTGAGAACTTCAGAGGGTTATTCAAGGTCTCCCTGTCAACAACCTTAAATTGCATGCACACATTTTTCAAATATTTATACCGTGTGTCACGACTGCTTGCAAAGGGATTTTAGTCTTCATTCGCCGCAAACTAGGAAGCTTATAAATATTTAATCTCATGGTACTGTTGTTAATTATGCAAACAGGTAAGCATCTTGTAACAATTAAGTTTTGTTATACACTTTTATCCAAGCAGGCTTATAGTACTCAACTTAGTACTCTTAGTACATTCACCATTGCTATAAATCTTTGATTCAGAGTGAGAGAGCATTTGCTTTTAAACAGACTGTCTCAGCCACCTGCAACTAATTGGTCAGCAATCAGCCAGGTATTTAACCCTCATTCGCCATTACCCCAGTGTTCCAATACTCAACGTACCTTGTTTCAAGTAGTTCTCTCACACCAAGGTTTCCTGTGAGCTTGCGGTACCAGTGCCTGATCCAGCCCACAGTAATTCCCTTGTGTCCTGATCCCACCAGCCCTGCCTTCTCCTTTTGCACCTGTAAAGCAGCAGTCCTGGGTCTCCGGAGCCCCATCCACTTCTCCATTACTTTTGTAAACACAACCTCCGCTCCTGGGTCCCGGCTCTCGGCTCCCGCGTCTGCACCGCTCTCGGATTTCTCCTCCAGCCCTTGAGTGTCTCTGTGGCCAACCAACCACTGCGGCTCACGGATGAATCCCTGTTCCCCTCAACCAGACGTGGGTTTTTCAACACCTAGCCGCAGCATAACATGAACACAATCAGTTAAGAGCGGTAGGCGTGTTCACTCCAGAGTCCTGTCTAGATTATTTGGCCTTGCACAATCTGGCCATCCTAAAATTCTCCTTTAATTCAGTAAGAGAATCAATTTCTCCCTCATCCACCTGATCTGATGTAAACTCACCATTGGAATGGATCTCATGACCATATCATCTGACACGTGCAATCAGCATTATGACTGCCATTTGAATGTTGGCGGCTGTGGCTGTTGCTGTGCCAAAGTTCTTTCATGTCCCTCAGATCTGTGCAGGTGCTTCCTGTCAGTTGGTAGGACTGCGGAACCTAAAGGACTAAGGAGTGTGGAGACTGTGTATTGGCCCTGAATGCCCTTTGTATTTAAGAAACGGCAAAAAGAAATGGAAAAACTGGAAGGGAGATCTCTTCAAGCACACAGCAATTTCTCATATTACATTAAAACAATTGTTTTTAATTCCTTAATAGATCATTAAGAATGTTGCATTTCTAGTATATTTAAATATAATCACTCCTGAAATATATGTTGAACTCTTGAGCCTAAACCTTGTGGCGATGCCTCAGTGAGGTGACCTGCCATCATCTCATTAGAAGCCCCAGAGAATCGGAGAGATCTGTAGTTATCTTATGTAAGGGTCACAATCCCTACTAAAGGAAGTATGTTCTCACATCTTGCTGCCCAGAAACTAAGTTACTTGCAGTGTTGTTGGTCCTGGCTGCAGAAATGTCATTGAATCTCCTTGTGTATCACTGTGTTATTACAAAGCCCCTCACAATTGATTTTCATCACATCGTTGTAACAATTGTAACATCAGTTTTTTCAGAAATATACCATGTGCTTTTGCATCATACTGTTACAGTTGCACAAATCGTTTGGACAAATGGCATGGGAGTAAAGTTATTATTTTTGGAAGAAGTAATATCTGCCCCAAGGAAGAAAAAAGGGTACTGTATTTTTTTTCGAAAATAGTCAGAAGACTAAGAAATGGAACTCATGCTTATATCGAGTAAGTCTGCAAGCTTTTCCTTTATGGTAGTCTGCCATAGTAAAGAAGAATATTTTCTGTGATTTCACTATGGTTCTTTACTACTTATTTTGCTTCCACCATGGTGAGCAATGGTCGTTTCTGAGGGATTTCTGTTTTGTGAAACATTGTGCCATTTTCAGAGCCATTCCTTGAGCAATTTTATACCACTTGAGGGCAGTAACATCTTGTCTTTGTGTGTTCTGACTGAGTTACTTTTCAATGGATGATCTCAACTGATTCGTCAATAAGGCAAGCCTTACCAGTACCAGCATTTCATAGCTTCCTCGATTTGTTAGTAGGGCAAAAGTCAGTACTCAACTCTGAATATTGTTTTTAAAGCTTAATGTTGTACTAAGACTTAACTGGAGTCCAAAAGCAACCCTAAAAGATAAGCAACGAGAAATCATCTCTGAAACCAGGACCACTGTTCTTTGTCTCTGCAATGAGACCATGAGAGATCAAGCCTCATATTTCTTTGCTTTATCAGCCTGAATGCCCATTGCTATATGTATAGACAACCCACAAATGTGTTACCGTTAAAACAGCATTTCAGTTGAGGTAATTTTTTTATGTTTACCTGTGCTGTCTGCACATCCAATTTGAGTTGTCCTGTTGGGTGGATAAAAAACGAACAATTTAGCTTTACTCTTGAACACTGTCTTTTATATACAGGGGGCCCAGAGCATACAACTGCATTTTCAGATTTTTGCATTTTTAACTGAATAACTTTCCTTGCCTTTAACTTGTTGAATTTTTGCACTTCCTTTCTTTTTAGACTGACTAAGTCAGTTATCCCACAGGTACTTTTACATTCTGATAATCAGAATGTTTCTGAGGGGGTGTACTGTGCAGTGGCGATTCAGTGGATGAGGAATTTGTTTTGAGTTCGGCAGCAATTGCAACAATGGATCTCTTGAAATATTAATGTTTTTTTTTATTTCAATCCAGATACTCCATTGCATTATGTTTGTTGAAGCTGGCATTCAACAGCTGAGAAAAGCATTGATTTGAAAAGGCAGTGAACCTGTTAGTGTCTTGCTGGATAGAGGATTTGGGCAACTCTGGCTGCTGTAAACAAAGCAGGCCCAAGCTTCGTTTTGGCTAGAATTGTGCCATTTTGTCTCTCACAACTTCTGTGAAACAGCCTTACATAAACAGCTGCAGGGTTCAAACAAATTCCAATTAAAATCTGGAATTCAGTCTTTTCTCTTTAATCATAAAAGAACAGACCTGTAAGAGCAAGTCTGCCTCTTATTAAGCTTCGGCAGCCAACGACATTAATCATTTTTCTTTATAGTTTGCTTTCAATTGGACCTCCCAAATTATGGTTTACGTTTTTAAAATCTACTCTTTTTTTACTCTTACCGTACAATCTTTCATCAGCCCACAGTAACGCTTGACTGGGCTCCTTAGCAGTGTTTAAAAAAAATAAAAGCTTAGAAAAATCATGCCAGATGATTATTAATGTTGGAGACAGTGGGTTCGAATCCAACTGGCCTGAGATCTGGAGGACTGTGGTAAAGAAAGACAACAGGGGCTTCATCATCTGCGGGCAACTGGCCTGGTGCCTGCGGTCTTTTTCACCTTTTCTTCCTCTGTTTTCTGCTTCTGTCCTCCAGTTCGCAAGAGGGTGTGAATTTGCAAGCAGGGTCACCTGAGGTCATTCCCATTGAACATGTCTGGAATGTTCTTGGAGGACGTGTTGCATCCTGGCAACACTGTCCTACAGCTATTTGGTAGCTAGTCAGCAACCCAAAAAAACAGATAAGAGTCCCATCAGGTCTTATTGCCCCCTTGTGTGGAGCATGCTGATTGTCAGACAACAGTGATGAGGGTTGTAATTGTCCACTTTCCTTCACATGAACTGGAAATGCATGGCTGTTTTCTTACCCATTTTGTCAGGGATGTGGCAAGGGGATAGCCCCTGTCATGGTGTGGTCATTGCAAAGGACCAGAACAGTTAGTTAGCAAGACAGAAGAGAACCATTAGGAAGCTGTGATCACACCATCTTTCAGCTTGAAGTTAACTTTAGTATGCCACTTCTGTAGAAAAAAAAAACCGATCAATTTCAATAACAGAAAAGCCAACTCATAATTAAAGAGAAAGAGTTTAAGGAACATGGGGCATAATTAAATAGATATCACAGTGGTAGAGAATTGGTGATCAGAGGCACTACTTGACCAACCAAACTAATAAAAACATATCCCAAAGGTTAAGTCCAGAAAGTCCAAAAAGCAGGTGGTTTAATGGCTCAGTAAAGAAAAGACTTGGACTAAGCAAATTAACAAATGATTGAAAATTGAGTAAGATGGTCCAAATGGCCTCTTTTTATTTTGAACCTTATGTACATATGACCATCAAAGGGGGAGGGGTTTTCCTTTGTTCCATTATTCCATTCTTGTTTTGAGTTTTCTTGTGTTGTACTCACTTGACCTTGCGTTAAGGTTTTAATTTTAGTGTTGTATACCTTAATTTTTCCAACAGAGGGTGCATGGTGTACAGTGCATGGTGTTAGCCAGTCAGAGAAGAATAAACAGGAGATTTTTACATTTGGATAAGAAATGTCCAATCATACGAGAACTACTTACATAATCTAACCTCTAATCTAACCTCTGAGCCAGCACACGTGAGTATTGGTTGACAAGTTACTACAGCTGCACTTTTTTGAATCATTCACTTACTCCATTTAAGTGTCATGTCTTTAGGCTGTTTAAATTGGATAAGGCTTCACATTCAACAGAATGGGGTATTTCATCAAGTTTGTCTTGTTTTACCAAAACTATCTTTTTGGATTGGTTATTTTGAATTGACCACTAATGTTCAGAATATACCATCTCTGTACACGTCACATCCCAGTTTGAAATGATATGACAAAAACTTAAGAACTCCTGTTGCTCAAGACTTCACACCTGCATTGTAAAATAATTCTCCAGTCCGTTTTTAATTTACATTCTGAATACTGTGAAAAAACGTCTGTTTCAATGAGGTCTGACTGGAGTTATCTAAAATTACACTGGGCTGCCTGCCACCAACAGGATGTAGAGATGCACCCTTATGTGGAACAAGGTATAAGGAATACATATAAAAAATACTGCTCGCATATAAGAAATAAAAAAAGTGTTTTTTAACACTAATTCACCCTAACAAGTGATGTTTCAGACCTTTTCATCAATTTGTATAACATAGAAGGTTCCTGAAACTGAAATTTATACTAACACATTTGTCATGAGAGCATCTTCCAAAACTCTGGCTCATGCCAACAGGATTAAGGATGCATGGCCCATTTCAATGTTGTTTTGAACTTGGACACTTGGAAAAATGTACGGTTTCTGTAGATTTTCAGTTTGCGGAGTCAGATTTGCTCAAGGTCAGAGTCTTCTTGGAAAATGCACATTTTGTAATAAACGCACTGATTGTCAGCATAAACATGCACTTTAGGATTTACGTAATACCCCATTACAGGAACTCATTTGACATGTCTACCTAATCATCGAAGTAAATGGTGTATTTCCTGAGATTGCTTAAAGGTTACCTTTCAGATTTTCTCAGTATGAGGCCCTATGTAGCACAGTAAACATTAATAAGACAGGAATGCTAGGGGATTATGATAAACTGTTAACATTTTTTATTGATATTTAAAATGAAGGTACATGAATTGTGCATGTTGAAGGTCTAGCGTGTGGAGGTTAAAATCAATGAAGAACACACAGGCAGAGTGGGTCACTGACATTGTATAAGAATACTTGTCTTGGAAAGCAATCACAAATAGAGATCCCTTCATTAAGTGTCCAGAAGTGATATTTGAAACCAATTTTTACAAATAGCCAGGTTGAGAATAATTGCAGTCCTTACAAGGAGAAAAGTCCATCACTTTCATAGGCCGTATATGAAATCACTGGAAAAAGGTATAATATGGAGAAAATAATAATTGCACTGGATCCTGACACAACTGAAAAAAGAGCCAGATCTGTGAGCAGGAAACGTGAACATAGCAATTGAACAGGCAACCAACTCCATAGTTTTTCAGTGTGGATTTGGATCCTTGTTCAACTGATAAATTCTGAACGTTTTCTACAGTGGAAGGCTGATAGGCAGACGCATTGGCTGCAGTAACCTCTTAGTAAAAGTGAGTCACATCGCTAGCACACATTCGTATTTGTACAGGAAGTGAAGTGAATATTCAGAATGTAGCCCTAACTGAGTGTGAGGGTAAGCTGCACAGGATAATGCATGGCTACTTTCACCTTAAATATCATAGAATCCCTGAGCAGGTCTGTTTTAAAAATGCATCTTATTTAAATGAGGAAGCTCTTGCATATCTGTAATGAGAAAGTGTTTCTGTTAATTTAAGTGAATTCCTAATACCTTGTACTGTAAAAAGGGATGCACTGTAATGATAGTGCATATAGTCTTAGTCTTACAGACATATGGTCTTACAGTCTCAAAAACATATACATTTTCCATTTTTGAAAACATGTTAGCTGAAATGGCAAGTCTGACTTAAAATTGCATCGACACCCCAAACATCACTCTTTTAAAATGTATTCAGAGTAGCTGAGGATAGTGGTGGATACTCTCCCTTTACCATCTTTTTTCCTGAGTTCGTACTTGCTAAACGTGATAACCCTTCTACAAAGATGGTATTGTAACTCTTTGCCAAAGATGGCATTTGCAATAGAAGAAAAATAATTCACTACCTAGCTAGATCATGCCTGGAGCTTTGGCATTTAAAATCTTTTATCTAATGTAAATAAAAAATGACAAATACCCCAGGCTTTCATACTCAGGAGGTATAATTCTCACTTGAGAACATACGCTCTTGTTTGCGATACAGCTTTCTCATCACAGACTGCTTGATGATCTGCTCACAGAAAGTTAGTAGCAAAAGTAGTAATAAGTTAGGGTTTGAAGGAGAAAAAATATTTTCTATGCCCCCAGCCCTATCTTGGACTCCATTAGAAGGCAAGATACTTCTCGAATGATAACAGATATATTTGTATCTAATCTATCTACATACACATGTATCCAAGCATAAAGAAATACACTTCTACTTACACTCTTAAACACTCACATTAAAAAAATTAAAATATCAAAATATTATATACATGTATATAATATTCTGCAGAAATAAATACTAAAGTGGCTTACAAGATAGTGGGTAGAGTACAATCAATGCAAACATTTAAAACTTCATATATTACTGAGAATAGTATACTTCTATTTATTTGTCCAGATTCTCTCGGTTTGCTGAAAACATAAGCTAAGGAAAGTGAATAATAAGAATATGTGCCCACTTCTGTGACATAACATGCCTGTGCAATCAAGGCTACTGCAGCTTTTTAAAATATCCATTTGACATTTCAGAGGCAAAAAAATGTTTCTTTTTGGTACAAAGCATCTAGAAAAGCATTACAAGTAATACCAGAAGAATGAAAAACACAAAATAAAAGTCAGTTGCGCATCAGTGCTAAGTATATTATTTGGACCAATTTTCATATATATTTTATAACAAAATAAATAATGCCTTTATACAGTGCCATTATTTGTATTAAACAAAAAAAGAAGCTTGGCGGCTCATTATGCAAGATACAGCTCATACTAAGAGAAAATAACATGATGTCCCTGGTAACTAATTATACATATTCAAGTATTTGTTTTCAAGCAAAAGCATGTGAATACTACTGATACACAATAAAAAATGTTAGTTGACATTATTGCTTTTTTTCCCTTTGACTTGAAATTTGTGCCTTTTAAAAATTAAAAAAAAATATAATAATAAAAATAAAAAAATCATAAAAAAGAGAATAATCTATCTTGGAACAGGAATGTCACGGTACCAGAATTTGACAGTCCAAGAAAACATCTCTAAGCAAAGCAACGTGCTAAAATGATCCCACAGTTTTTATTTCTTTCAGGTTGTAAAGAAACAGGACAGTGTTGTTTTCAAAGTCTGTCTGGAAGCATGAATTTCCTCCAGGCAATGCCTTTATCCCCCAGTTTCCTCCCACATCAGTGGTCTTCTGGGCAATATTGTGGTACGCTGCAAAAGGCATCTTCTGACTTGTAACGAGCCGCTGAATCGTAGTGTACTGCCACATCTGCACACTGTGACATCCCAGTTTAGCACTGCCAGAACCAAGCTCTTCTTTTTTTTTCAAGTCACACTTTCCCTAAAACGGAAAGTTTTCTTCAAGTTCTGCATTGTCAAAAAAAACGTGCATTTTCATCTTCCTCTTCTTTGAGTCCATCCCCAAAGCTAGCACCATGACATTGTTTGATAGCTACACGTTTATTGTTCATAAAAAAATAGTGCCTTTTTTTCCTTTAATATAAAAAAAGATTTGACGTAATCCGTGGCGATGTGCAATTGCAGAAGTTTTTTCTGCCTTTTGTTTTGTGATTAGAAGGTGCTGGATCAGGAATCTAATTTAAACAATATAAACTCCTTACGGTGTGGAAATCCCATTAGTTACAGGTGCAAACTAGTTTAAAAAAACTAATAAGAAGAGATGTTTGTATCTCAGTAAATTTGCATGGAATGAAGTCTTTTATGTTGGCTGTTCTGAAGTTTAACCCCCCTCCCCCCCCCTTCCCTGAACAACCATTCTTCTGCACTTCCTCTTTGCACTTGCCAAGCAGTGAACTGCTTTCATCTTCTTTGCCTTTTTCTATTTCAGATCCACCTGAATTGCCTTCAGTTTAATTGTTAACTTGCTTTTCATGTTGCGTGTACGTGTGTGTGTGTGCGCAGCGTGTGAAGGGAGGTGGGGTGGACCAAGGCTCAAGAAGGCTGCCACAGGACGTCAAAAACAAAGCTATAATCCCCTAGTCTTTTTATCTCGTTTGTGCAAAGAATCCCAGACTCATTTGTGGCTGACAGATTTCTCTGTGGAAGACTGAACTGCAGGGGGCAGTTTGCTGGGAAGGGTGATCAGAGGCTTGTGAAAGAGGAGCTGCTCCTGGGCCTTGACCTTCTCAGCCTGATGTCTAAATTTCCTTGCCCTCAGAATGGCGGGGATGCCTCTCCGCAGTCTCTGCGCTGCCTTTCTCTGCCACACGTCGTATTTGGAATACTTGACCGTCAGTGGCTTCCTTGGGGCTTCCTGCAATTTGAAACAAATGCAATGAGGACAAGTCAGCTCCCTAGACCTGCTTTTATAGCAAACATAATTTACTACATACTGTACAGGTATACCAATAAGCACTTCCTTTGTTACTGAGTGTCCAGATGGGTACTTGAATAACTTTATTGAAATCAAGGTGGGCCCAGCACTGCAATATGTTTTGAAGAAAGTAAATTGTAGTACTTTTTTCTGCAGTCTTAAAATACTACTAACATGTCAGCTAGCCTAGTCTGTTTAAGGCTCTCTCTTTATTGCCTGTTTTCTTTTTGAAAATTAGATGTGCTGGCCTCCCAGGACTGTGACCTACTACCTTACAGCATTACTATGCTTATGCCAGTGGCACTGGCTGGTTCTGTTTGCTGCAATGCACTGTAAGACACAAGAGGTGAGCATGTATTGTCCCACCAGTGCCCCAGAATCCAGTCCATTGTGCAGAGATGTACCTGAGTGTATTTTCTTTAAAGATGAACATAATTGAGCTTAGACCCCTGTCACTGCTCAGTCTGATCTTCCAGTCTCTTTCAATCAAGAGAGCAAACGGACTAGTTCAAACCATTACATGCCTGGCAAATAAACTACTAACAGCACCCTCAATGTGAAAAGGTTTTTGGGGGCAAATTTAAGTCTTAAGGTTGCTACAACATTAAGAACCTCATAATAATGCAGGTTTGTATCTTGATAGATTTTATCACGTTTTATGCTGTGGTTTTCTGCACTTCTAACATCCTATTTATGCTTTACTACACTGGACCATAAGTAAAACTTCAGTTCATTGGTAAAGCTTATTCAGAGACCTCTATTTTGAAATATTATAGATTTTCCATAGTCCAGTGCAATAATGTACAGTGAAGACCAGTTCAAAGCACATGATACCACAGCAAAATATGAAAATATATGACAATAAATTCACCTTGGTAAACTTTTACAGTGTAGCAGAACTACTAATTTTCTCATAAATAAACAATTTAACTTATTTGAACTTGCTTTAATAGTTTTAAGTGTAACCTTAAGACAAGCTTTTTGTGCCTCCTATGTCCACTTTGCAAAATGTATCTTACTGTGTAATGTGCTTTTTTAATGTAAACCATTTTGAAATGATTGCTTTTAAATGTGCTATATTGATAAAGCCTGTTATTTTAACTGCTCCTCAGTTGCACTAAAATATCATGCAATTCAAGGCTTAGATGTCTGTCTTGTACCAATTAAATGAACACAGGTTCTAGGATCCTTTGAGTCACCACATATTGATTTCTACTGGTGCTGTATGCTGAAATATGTCATGCACTCCAGACAAAAGAGCTAATACAAGCAATCCAGGCCATTATATTTACTTGATCAGTGTGAGTTTCAATTAAGTATCCAAAATAAAGCTTAAAAACAGTGGGGGGTAGGATTTCATTCAAGGGTCAATGATTTAAAAGTGGAATATATTGTGTATCATGTACAGTCACTTGAACATGTACTGTTTACCTTTTTTGATCTTTTGGTCTTGAGCACAGTACTTTACTAACTTTCCACCTATGTCAGCATTTTATGTCAGGTTCTTGCTTAGTAATGCTTATTATTTTCCAAGATAACATGCTTGTAAAAACAAAATGTCCCACTGTCCTCAGCAACACCATCATATGGGTTTTGCATAAACAAATTCTTGAGTGCAGATCAGAGAAAAGATAGAGCTTTGCAAAGTGTCACTTCCCATGGATACAGGTTCGGCACGTACCTTTAGTGCTGGTAATGCAGGTATCCCCTGAAGTGATGTAGAAGAGACGTCTCGTTCTGACTTGGCAGGTTTAGCGCAGTACATTTCCAGAAGGTTCAAATCACAGCTTCGGAAACAACATTCTTCAACTATTCCTTTCTGTGCTCTTCGACTGTTTGATCTGCTTGTTGGCCTGCCTGGGGAAAGCAAAAAAACAAGACAAAAAAGATTAGCACAAGAACAAGTAAACAGTAACTGATGTTTAAGGATTTTTTTTTACCATCAGTTCAATGCATTATTTAATCAATGTATCTACCAGAATGAAGCCCTGTTTCTATGTTTTAAAGAATAAACACACAATCTATGGGCAACTAAAACACAATAATTATGAATCATCATAAACACTTTTCTTAATATTATGAAAATTCTACAGGCAGCCTTCATGTCAACAGATTGCAGTCTGAAGTTTTTATTTGAGCAACAGCCATTTGTTTACTTTGTATACAAGAGTCAGCTGCTGTGTATGAGCAATTTGCCCAGTAAATGGCTAGACGTGTACATTTCATAGGATTATGGAGTTAATTATGGAGTTTGCATGCTTTTGCAAGAAGAGCAGACACTCTGAGGTTAAAGTGCTATCTTATAAGATTATGGGAATGTAAATTAAACAGAACACATATTGCACTGCCCATACCATAACCATATGATTTTCATGTAATAACACATTAACATTACCAGAAATGTGACTGACCCACTGAAAGTTGTATTTTCTTTACAGAAAATATGTATAAAACAAAGAACTCTATTGGGAGCACCGATATGTTTTTTTTAATACCAACACTGAAAAAAGACTGTTATTACCTGCTTTTTATTCTCTACATTGTTTGCTATATACATTCTGTCTGAGGCCACATCAAAACCCATTTGTTAAAAAAGGACATTGCTACTGATTTATCTGAACAGTGAACCTGTGATGTTCAGTTAAAAGATTAATCAAAGATCAAGAGATTTCTTTTCAAAATCATACCCTGTGGGAGGAAGTGTTTAGAATAAGGGAGCTATTTAGATATTAGAAAAACACCATCAAAGCTTTTCAAGCCCTGAAAAAATCCTTTGTTGTACAGCAAAAAAGGAAACATTGAGCTCTATTGAGTAGTTTTCTTAATAATGGAAGCTACTCTTTGACCTTGCCACCTCAGCGGAGATAAAGAGACAGAGGGACATGAAAGGGGAAAGTCTTCAAAAATCAGATAGAGCAGCAAGTGGTCAAAGTGACAGTAGCAAATTGAGGACCTTGATACCTGTTTAGTACATGCAGGCACAAAGATGCAAGCTCAAAGATCCGTAGCAGATATTAGTGTGATTCAGAGAGAAGGGGGAATATATGGGTTGAAAGAGAGACAGCTACTTTTTTTACTTTTTTGCCTTTCACTATGTCCACAATTGGATAATATTCTTTTGGATAGTGTGGACATCCAACCCAACAAAGGCTGAGCAAGTCTGCTACTGTCAACGGCAAACAGAGGGCAAATATGCAAAAGGTTCTGATATTGGAAGGGAAGAGTTGGCCATACAGCCTCATGCACATTAATTCTTCAACTACATCAGCGTGTGAAACTGTCCACACCAGCCCTTGGAGATGGATCCAAGGATCCAGATTACCGCAGCCAAGCAAGATAATTCACTATGTAGTTAGGAAAGACAAAACTTGTTCGTCATCTCTTCATTTTGCAGAGTACCCTGCAAACTTCATTTTAGGACGGAAAACAGGCATGCCCACATTAGCCCTCAAAGGACTAAAACGGAGGATTTTAAGGGCTGTAAATCTGTAAGCAAAGTAGATGTACTCGCCTTCCTTAATTATTAAAAGTTTTTTTTTTTCTTTCGCAGAGCGTAGCCTGGGAACGTTTAAGAAGTGGACAATGGAATGGGGACTTGGGTATTACTTTCACATGCGGAATGTGCGGGTAAACAAACAGCCCATTGTGGTGCGTTCAGCAATGCGCCTTAGTGCATTGTGCGTCCTTTTCATACGCAGTGAAGACAGTGAGAAAATGTGCCCACTCAGCACAATCGCGGGGTCGGGGCCTTTAAGCACAGCTTGTAATTTGCAAGTATGTATTTGCATACCTGCTCGCCAATTGTCGGCTGTACTCCCAAACAACTCACCCCCTCCAAAACAGGCGGGGTATTTTACTGAATTGCTCATTTACTCACGAAACCTACTTTTTGTTGCTTTTCAGAACATAAAATAGAGAAGTAGCGCGCTGTCAAAGAGTTTTGCAATAATGGAATGGGATGTGGAAAAGGCTTCTACTGGACAATAACTTCAAAATTACTATCCTGGAACATTTGTTTCGGTTAAAGCTTATAATAAAGCTCGGGAATCTTAATGAATACATTTAAAACACTTACTGAAGTAAAACCCTCTGTCTTCACACACGAATTGTAGCGCATCTACCAGCTCTCCACCGCAGAGCGTTTCAGCGTAACTGAATGGTTTAGCCACATCCATAATGTAAAAAGTCAGGGCGATCGTGAACACCAACATTTGTCTTGATGTGGACATCTTTCGCATCTAAAGAGAACAGAGAATCTTGTTAGATTGTCGAATGACGTACTTAATGAGCAACAAGACGACCCCATATCTCCCAAGTACGAACTATATACTCAAAAGCACGTCAGTTGTGTCAATGTGCAGTTTAATGCTTTATGAATACACCCGCCTAATATCTTTGAGTTAGATATTTTAAAAGTGTATTATATCCGAAATGTTTGCAAACTAAACATGCAACTCTGCTCTAACGTTATCATTCATAATCTAAATTGCATATGTTCAAAATGAAACGTGCTTTCATTAGACGGTTAACCGTTTACTTATTATTTTCTGAACTGGTTTTGTATTTAAACTGGATAAATGCAATCTAGGGTCTGACTTTTATACCATCTCTTACAAGTTACACCGAGGGATACCACCTGCAACTTCAAATCTCACACTCGTCAAATTAACATCACCTTTCCTACACCAAATAAAGCACAATGTTATCGCCCCCTTGTGTTTAATTTTCAAGCTATTAGATGTTTATCCCATAGTAGCAATCGAGAAACGCTATCAAATCTTTAAATGGAACAAGTTTTAAAGGAGAAGTTTATATATATATTGCCGAAATAGTTTGAACAGATTCGTAGCAACTGATTTCTGGAAGTGTCATTGTAATCAAACCCCTTCTTTTTACAACTATATATACATATGTTTTGACGTATTGTGTTTCATTTGTATGCTCTACATCAGTAAACCGTAGGTGGAACACGTCTTCAAAGCAAATACGGGAAAAAAATAAAACAATTTCATGCAATTAAAAAGTTCTGCAGTATTACCTTCATTCTTCTGTTTTCAGTTCCTAAGCAGGTATGGCAGAAAGCCTGGTAGCTGTATTTCTGCTGATCCTCCATTTCTGAAGTTGTTTGATATGTATGTAGTTATTTGGTAGTGAAGTAGGTTATGTTCCCAGTTGCTAATGTAGAGATGTTGTGTGAAGCTGCCCCACAGCTTAGGAGACAGACTAAACTTCTGAGTGTTAACTATTATATACCAAATCCCGCCCCTTAACCGCCCCCCTCACCCCAAACCCTTTTTCCGATTGCGCATGTCAGAGCTATTAAGATGTGTAAATGCTAAGTGACTGCATCGTAGTTCTTAAACTCGAGGTGTTTGCTCTTGGAACAAAATTGATATTGTGCCAGACAATTGTTCCTTTCTGGGGTCCTGACTTCAGTTCTTTTACATCTTAATATTGCGTTATTCCTTGAAATAGAACGTGTTTGTTCAGTGTCACTTATCCGAATCTATCACATATGTATCTGTTATCAAAATGTATTTTCAAATGTATAAACCGGTCAGAGAGAGTTACTACAAAGAGTAAACATGCATATGACAAAACTCTTCATAGACATCCGTTTTTTCTTTTTAACTGTCTTAAATAAGAAAGGCGGTTTTGTCAAACGTACAGTAATAAGTGTAATATTTATATTGGTGGTCAGATTAAAAGGAGCTTTGAAACTAACAAAACCTTGAAAGCCTACATCTTTCGACTTTGTACTGCTTTCTTATGTGAGTCGTACTAACAGTTTGCTGTAGAAAAACGCAGGAGTGAAATAGTCTTCCGAAGACTTCTGGTCTTCGTGTTTTGGCGCTTACTACTGGAGCAATCGGGTACTCGCTGCTGAATTATTGTAATCTGCTGTTGGTCACCGCGTTTAGCACCTTGTGCATTAACATCTCTGCCGAAGACCGTCCGTTTTCCTCTTTCCTCAAATTCAACTGGCCAGAACATGCCTATGTATCTAAGGCTCAAATGCTTAACTGTTATCTCTGTAAAAACACAACAGAATGTCAAAGGGGAGATTATGGTAGTCAGGACATAATCAGGACAGTTTATTTAAATGCCAAGTAAATACCGCCTGAAGGCTTTGATGAAATGCGCATAAAAACGCCTTTAAGAAATGCATTGTTTTCTAAGAGCCGCTTTAGGGCATTGTGTTACTCAATCTCTGTTTGGGTTACGGTCTCTTGTGTCAGGAATTCTTTAACCTGTGAAAATGCATGGCGGATTTGAGTCGTTCATTTGTACTTGCAGATCTAAATTGACCCAGTGTGGATTTCCAAACTAATTCAGTTATGCTTCTTACAATCATGTTAAATTCATATTAAAAAATCACTTGTGTGTTTTAAATGTGCGTGGATTTACATTGTGCTTCAGTAACTTGTATCAAGTGTTGTGCTTTAGTAACTTGAATAAAGTGTTGCCCAGAGCATCAATAAAGACCCGACAGAAGAGCAATCCATATACGGTTTTGGATCTATTCCACATACTTTAATCGCGTGTAAACTCAAATTTCCTTATGCATTCTATTCTGCATTTTAGATACAAAGTCCTCAGAGTACAAGCAAAATAACGCTGGTTGAGATTGTGAGGGTACTGTTAATTCCGCGGTAGCAATTTAATCAACCCCACGGCAGACGAAACCATTGTTTGTAAAGGAAATCAAAGCTCACTGCATGATACTCTCTTTACTACGGTAGTCCTTTAGTATTTTATCATAAACCACGCACACTGTTAGTAATGAAGGGATTTTTGCAAAGCCAAAAAAGTATACCGTAGCATTCCAGGCCTCAATACAGCAAGGCTCCAAATTTCACAAAATGACCCGTTTTACTCTGAAAGGTTGCACTACACCCGGGCAGTGTTTGGTAGGTGTCATAGCCTGCTCGTTATGTAAACTTTTTAATTGTCAGGATTTCTTCAATCTTTCCAGAACTTAACTGTGGTTCCACGTGAAATGCTGAACTGGCAGCTGTTTTCCCAGTGTTGACCACTCTCCTGCCAGCACCGAGGAGCTGGGCGCTCGCTTTCACTCAATGAATTATTACTACAAGTGTTCGCTGGTGACTTGAATCTGTGCTGTTGACCGGCTGTAGCGGTGGACTCTGACCTCATCGCTGACATTTCTTATGTTATATACTGTACCTGCGGTGCTGGATTAATACATTTCCCCCAGCACACAAAATGCATCATGGCACCTTTTAATTATATATATTTGTCTCATCTAGATTACGTTTCTCGCTTTCAGTAGGTATTATCATTAACCAGTGTTGTCTACAGCTAATGAATCACTCTGAAACAACGAAAACAAGGTTGTGCGACGGTTTTCTTTAAAGAAAATTAATCTGAGGAAGGAAAGGATTGAAAAGTATTGAATACCCTTTTACAATATCTAATACTTTTTGTGTTGCAGGAAAGAACATAACTTTAACATTAGATATGCATTCAAAAATAAGAAAATCATAAATGACACTGAAACATCTAATTTAGCTATTACAAATATTTAAAAAATTATTTTGTACTTTGTGGGCTTCACATATACAGACTTTTCTGTAGTGATTCAGTTCTGCCTTAGCTATAATCTGTGGTTTGACCTTTCTAGATACATCTCAGTTTTCCACCTCTGGCCAGAGACAAAATGACTTTGTAACCAGCACTGAAGTTTTACTCACATCCATGACAGATCATCCATATTTCCTACATTTTACAAACTTCAAGGCATGAGGATTTTCACATATAACTATTGCAACAATTGTGGTTAATGACTTATTATACTGCCATGTTAAAGCTAAGTTACAGTAATTAAGTTAGGAATGTACCAAACTACTGTATTAGAGATTGCATGTGCTTCTGAAGCCTCAGTTCCAAAAAATGCAAAATGTGTTTGTGTCCTACCTATTTAAAGAACAATGTCAGAAACAGATATAAAATAAAGGATCTATTTGAGTGACTGATTAAAAGCCCTTCAATTACTATTTGTCTCTTGTATCAGTTAAGTAGTGTTACATATGCCAGGCTTAGTATAACTAAACTGAAGAAAATTCTGATTGCACATTTTCTAGTTTTCATATACCCATATGAGGAAAGTTTGCTAAACAATGTCACCAAAGTTGTCCACCCAACTGATATAAGTGCCTAACAGAATATATAACAGTTCAAGCACACAATTAGTCTTGTAATATTCAATTATTCTCAAATAATTCTTTAATACTTTTATAAAAGAAAAATAGTTGCAAAGTTAATAATTGTAACTGTATATTGAATCAGCAAACTCCTGAAGATAGGCACTATTGAACATCTTGGATGTAGAATGCCCATATACTACTTTTATCAGCTTGTCTAAGACAATCGAGATCAATGAATAACTTCCAGTGTTGAAAGAATGTACCTGGAGATAGTGTGATTTGGTTGCTTGTTTGGAAGATAATTTGATGCTGTTTGCGGACTGTGAACAGCTTATTCAGTGCTCTGCTTTGGGCCATTCACCAAGACTAAAGACACTGCAGGAGGCAGGAAGATCAGGGCCCTCAGAGACAACAGCAATCTAATCAGATTGACCTTTTCCTTAATTCAACCTGAAAAATTGTTCTGAACCCACATTTTCATCTTCTATAGGAGTCTACCTGCCACATGTTGACACAAGCGATAAGGGACTGCTTGCACAAATATGGCTCCTGAACACCGTGATCCTGCCTTTAAACAAAACACCATTGCCAGGCTGGTCAGCAGTCATGCTATCTGATCTGCAACACTAGAGCAGTATCACGTTTTGCTATGTTTATAGGTTCCATATTCTTTTGAAGGACTGAGAAAGTAAAAAGGTAAGAGCTACATCTGGTGCTTAAGGTGCCCTCTAAAGGTATTTCGGTAGATTGGAGGAGTGGTGTGTGTATACTTTATGAGCACACAACTGACAGGAGTGGCCTGCACAATGTGTCATGAATGACTTTCGGTTCATACAACTTAACAAAGCATTCGCTGTAATTCATATACTGTATACTATACCTTGCTTACTGTATTTTGTATATGTTTTGTATCTGTAGCACTCTCTATTGCATTTTTCACTGTTCGCTTCAGTTCATTATTTTACTATGAATCAGGTTGAAGCAAGATATAGTTCAACCAATCGTAATAACAGCGAGAGGGTGATCTGTACTGCGCTGTATTTGACATCTCTCATTTTATGACAGATCAGCATGTTTTTTAGCCTGACGTAGTCAGATCTCAGAAGCAAAGCAAGGGTGTGCTCTGATGACAGGGGGGAGAGAGCCCAGAGAGCCTCCAAGAAAAAGCATCTAAAAAAAGTGGCGGCTGGAAATTCTTCTTGTAAACGGTTGGTGGACCAGTAGGTGTTACATTCCTCTGCAAAACCAAGTCCCCACTATGGGGGTGTCATCCTTTGAATAAGCCTGAGGTCCTGATAATCTTATTAAAAGGTTGTGACCCTGGTATACTGGCTGCTTTCCACTTCAGGTTTACCATCTAGCCTCAGTTAATTCAATTGCTAAAGCACTTTTTCACTTCTATATCTTATCTGTTGTTTTATCCTGCGGGGCGCTGCACCTCAGTAGTTGAAGTGTCTCCCTCCTCTGCTTTGTGTGAAAGACTTTTAGAATTTTTGAGCCGAGGTGTGTCATCCAAATGCCCACAAATACTGACAAAATGATAAGATACAGATTAAGACTTTTTTAAAGGATACACTTAGATTTGATTTATTTTCCATAAATATTCTACACCCCTTTTATCAGTAACTTGCTGTCTTTGACACAATCATCTCTCGTTTCTTATGTCAGTAAGTCGGTACTTTGTGCATTTCACTGACGAAACTAGTACAATATCGCCATCTTGTGGCAGATTGCAGCAACAACATCAGGGCTGAGTCATTCATACTGCCGGTACATCTAGTTAGTACTGTAGCTCCGCGTGTACTGCAGTATGTACTGTAATTGAAATAATACTTTGATAACAATGTAGTAAGAAGGATTACATGCACGTAGCAAAAATGGTTCGTGATCTTAAGAAAAGGACTTATGCAAGTAAGGATTTAGGCACGAATGTGGACAAAGTTCTCATTCAGAAGATGTGGGGATGCGGTAAAAAAGATGTTAGGATGCAGTTAGACTCGCAGAAGTGGAATCGACCCCAGTTACATCAGGTTAACATAACGCACTGGTCTAATATAGCGTCAGCGCTAGTGCTGGTGG